GCTAACAGGCTAACACAGGCTAACAGGCTAACTAACACAGGCTAACACAGGCTAACACAGGCTAACACAGGCTAACACAGGCTAACACAGGCTAACACAGGCTAACACAGGCTAACAGGCTAACACAGGCTAACACAGGCTAACACAGGCTAACGCAGGCTAACACAGGCTAACGCAGGCTAACGGAGGCTAACAGAAGCTAACAGATGCTAATAGCACAATAAACTACAACCACAGAAAACCCAAAAACCCTCAAACCCTCAAACCCTCACAGGGACTAACAACTCTATAAACTACAGCCACAGTTAACTCTAAGTTTAACTCTAACAGAGGCTAATGGCTAAAGCTAATAGCACTAGAAGCTACAGCCATGCTAAAGGCTAAATGCTAAAGGCTAACAGCTCTGTGATCTACAGTCAGGCTAAAAGAGGCTAACAGGGCTAAACATAAACAATCATCGGGGCTAATGTTGTGTTCAGGGAAAATATGGAGCTCGAGAAAGTTGAATGTAGCGTCAGGTGTCGCGCGCTCGTCACTCCGGCTCATAAACGGTCTGTTAGCCAACGTTAGCTGTTGGCGACTCAATTCTGTCAGTTTGATTTTTACATGTTCAGAAAAAAAAACTTGCTACTGTCGAATGATGTGAAATAAAGTCTAAATGTCACTGCGATGTTTTTAAAGACACTTTCTCTACACAAACACAAACTGAACACATCAATAATTCTGTACGTTCACTGTGGCGCCGACATTTTCACTGCGACGTAAATCCAACGGACTCAGTCTGCGCCCAGCGAGCCCGAGTTTGTGTTTCAGAACCGAGATTTGTTTGGCCACTGCACTTTGTCCAGGTGGAGGTCGGTTTTACCCGAGTCCCAAAAACAAAAGAACGCAGCATAAAAACACCCTAAACTACAATTCTATAAACTACAGCTCTAATCTACAGCTCTATAAACTACAACTCTAAACTACAACTCTATAAACTACAGCTCTATAAACTCTAAACTACAACTCTAAACTACAACTCTATAAACTACAACTACTCTAAACTACAACTCTATAAACTACAACTCTAAACTACAACTCTAAACTACAACTCTATAAACTACAGCTCTATAAACTACAACTCTAAACTACAGCTCTATAAACTACAACTCTATAAACTACAACTCTATAAACTACAACTCTAAACTACAGCTCTATAAACTACAACTCTATAAACTACACTCTAAACTAAACTCTAACTCTATAAACTACAACTCTAAACTACAGCTCTATAAACTACAACTCTATAAACTACAACTCTAAACTACAACTCTATAAACTACAACTCTATAAACTACAACTCTATAAACTACAACTCTATAAACTACAGCTCTATAAAACTCTATAAACTACAACTCTAAACTACAACTCTATAAACTACACTCTATAAACTACAACTCTATAAACTACAACTCTATAAACTACAACTCTATAAACTACAGCTCTATAAACTACAACTCTAAACTACAGCTCTATAAACTACAACTCTATAAACTACAACTCTATAAACTACAACTCTATAAACTACAGCTCTATAAACTACAGCTCTATAAACTACAGCTCTATAAACTACAACTCTAAACTACAGCTCTATAAACTACAGCTCTATAAACTACAGCTCTATAAACTACAGCTCTATAAACTACAACTCTATAAACTACAACTCTATAAACTACAGCTCTATAAACTACAGCTCTATAAACTACAGCTCTATAAACTACAGCTCTATAAACTACAGCTCTATAAACTACAGCTCTATAAACTACAGCTCTATAAACTACAGCTCTATAAACTACAGCTCTATAAACTACAGCTCTATAAACTACAACTCTATAAACTACAGCTCTATAAACTACAGCTCTATAAACTTTGATTCCTGAGCTGGTTGTGGAGTTTAGTTTTGTTTGTTTGTTGTTTTTTATATTAATTAGTCACTTCAGATTCACAAGACACAAGTTGTTCAATAACAACAAGTTGAAAAGTCGTCTGTGTCCGTTTCTCCGTTAAAGCTGAAGTTGTCGTTGATTTGCCGCCGTGTTGGTTCGAGTTGCCATGGAAACGGAGGAACGAATGTTTTTAATATCAGTTTTAAATGAGTTTGGATCAGTTTGTGTTTTGGATTCGGTGACGCTGGCAAAAAAACCCAGTGAAATCCTTTTAAACCCGGAGAGTCTGAGGGACGAGTTTGATTTAAGTAAACGTCTCAGAATCCAGGATGTGGCTTTACTTTGATGACCTCAGCAGGTTTTTGGTTTTTGTTCCTTTTTCTGTGAATTAAACTTTTGTGGTTGTAGCGTCCAGTCGATGGACTGATGGATAAATGACTTTTAATCTTGTTCTTGCCGTGTCTTAGAACCAATATAAGAACAAAATAAGAGAATTTATCGTACGATCATTGTTTCACCGATCATTACAGTTTAACCTTTATCCATATTTTAACTTTAATTATCAATTCAAATTACAAGAAGCTCAAATAAACATTCACAAATAAAACCAAACTTATTCCTCTGACCTCTGTTGTGATCTTTAGATTTTTTAAAATAACTTTTCACCGCTGTTGTTGTTGTTGTTGTTGTTGTTGTTTTTTTACCGTTAATGTTTCTGTGTTTTACTTTGCGTCTTTTCTGTAAACAAGCCAATGTTTTGACCTTCACTTCCTCTCACACAGGAAGTCACCAAAATAAAAGCGCAACCGTACTATTAAACATCATGGACTCTATGTTAATGTAAATAAGAGCAAACTTGACCTTTTACTCTGGTTTTGATCAATCTTTAAGCCTAAAGGAACTGTACGGTTTAGAGTTAAATTTAAATTTATTATTATTATTAATAATAATTAAGATTTAAAAACACAAAATGACCTAAATGTGTCTCCAGATACGAAGAAAACAAGTTCAGATCAAATAAAACTTTTACTGAGAACGGTTCTAATGATTCATTCTAAACACAAAAACATTGGACGTGAACAACTGGGATTATTTTTAGAAAGAATAAACTTTTACATGATCGAGGAATAAATGAATTTGGCTTTAAAATGGGAAAAAAACATCGATTTACTTCGGAAGTTCGTTTAATTCAGAATAATAATTTTCATTTGGAATTAAGTGTTTGTTGAATCCAAGACGCGTCGTGTTGTTTTCTGTGTCTTCTGCTCATTGGCTCATGGGACCAAAAACAATTTTCACTTCCACATTTCCTTCCTCAGTCTGGGACACAGATATAGAACAGCAGACGTGTCGTTCAGTCTCCTGGGGTGTGTTAATCCCACCGCCATCTTGGCTCAGGGCGTCCGTGGTCTAAGTCACCGACCTGCTGCTTTTTCCCAGGATCAGCGAGCGCAGACGCCCGGACTGTTGCACCGATTTTCAACAGTTTAATTTCACATGTTGTGTCTTGTTCTTTACAAGTTCAAACGGCAGCACGTGGTTAAAGCGCAAATTCAAACTACAGCGCAGCAGTTTAAGGAAGAACAAAATGACCAACATGTTAAGGTCGGTTTAAGGTTGAGTCCCGAGTTTGAGAACATAGATCCATCTCCTCTGCTCCTGGATCTGATCTTAATGACACTCAGAGCGACAAGATCCAGTTTTTTCAAATCTGACCCGGGACACTTGGATCTGCTCCTAAAACCCAAACATGATCTGATCTTTGGACATGTGACTCGAGTCTGAACGTCCACGTCACATTCATCCACCGACACGTCAGACTCAGAGTCTCGTCGGTGAAGGGAAAACGAGGTTCGACAGTTTATTCATATTTGGGGGATCTGTGTTCAGGACAAATTGGAGGAGTCTTATCGGAATTGGGTTTGGTTTCCGATAAGACTCCTCCAAATCCTGAACCTAACCGTTTTTTTTAAATGTCTGAGCGCGGCAACAAACGTCCTGGCTCCAACGTCAACGAAAAATAAAGATCCTGCGAACCAAATCCAAGGAGGATAAAGAGTCAAACAAATGAAGCGGCCGCGGAACTGGAACAGATTTTAGGAGACAAGCCCAGAGTTTAGACGACTTCTGTAACTCTGAACACTCGCTGTGTGTGACGCCGTTGTGTCTCCAAAGAACATGTGAGACACTTTTGGGGCGTTTAGAGTTCACGCTGGAGTCACTTTTAACTGGAAATGTGAACGACTTCGCAAAAAAATTTGATTTCACAAAAAAATTTGAATTGAGCTTTAAGCCCTGAAGAAAGAGCTTTAGTCCTGCAGACTGAGACCAGAACTCAAGCCCGAAAGAGAGAAAAAGTGCAATTACAGCAACAAACACTGAGACGCAGATTTGTACTCGGGACTCGTCTGTGTTTGGACAAATATTGTTGGTCATTTTTCTTGGAATTTTGACGTTACAAATGACAGACGTGGAGCTTTTCGACGGGATTAAAATCTCAAACTTCGTCCACAATGATTCCAAACCCCAAAGGTCCTCGGGTCAGACTGATCCTGTGACAAAAGAACTTTACTCCTCGTCTTTATTCAGAGTCCGGACTAAAGCTCAGAGACTGAACCAGGTCCGGTCCAGAGGAATGCAGACCGGTCTGTTCTGACAGGTGTGGTCCTGTCATTAGGGCTCATTATGAGACACACCTGAAACTGACACGGTCACCAGAGGGCAGCACACGCACAGCCCCAGCACCTTTAAAAGACCTGGTCTAGTCCTGGTTCAGTCCTGGTTCAGTCCTGGTTTAGTCCTGGTCTAGTCCTGGTTTAGTCCTGGTCTAGTCCTGGTCTAGACCTGGTCTAGTCCTGGTTTAGTCCTGGTTCAGTCCTGGTTTAGTCCTGGTCTAGTCCTGGTTTAGTCCTGGTCTAGTCCTGGTCTAGTCCTGGTTTAGTCCTGGTTAGTCCTGGTCTAGTCCTGGTCTAGTCCTGGTCTAGTCCTGGTCTAGTCCTGGTTTAGGCCTGGTCTAGTCCTGGTTTAGTCCTGGTCTCTGTTTCTAACGTTCCTTCTGTTTGTGTTTTTCAGGTTTAAGCCGTTCTTCCCGTTCCAGGTTCCGTCTCCGCTCGGCTCCTGTGACGTGGATCTGACCGTGTCCGACGCTCGACTGGTGGAAGGACGACTCCGGGTCAGCCTCATCGAGTGCAGCAGGTCAGACCGAGACCGGGCTTAGTCCTGGTTTAGACCTGGTTTAGTCCTGGTTTAGTCCTGGTTTAGACCTGGTTTAGTCCTGGTTTAGACCTGGTTTAGTCCTGGTTTAGACCTGGTTTAGAGACCTGGTTTAGGTTTAGACCTGGTTTAGACCTGGTTTAGACCTGGTTTAGACCTGGTTTAGACCTGGTTTAGACCTGTTTTTTTAAATGTTCCTGTTCAGACTCAGATCCAGGTCAGTGTCTCTAATCTCTGTGTCTCTGCAGAATCAGGTTTAATTTGACGTTTTTATCCCAAACCTCCAAAAATAGAACCTGAACTGGACCAGGGCGGGGCATCTGACTTAATCTTTTCAATTTGGTAAAACTGCAGGAGGAACACCTCAGACCTCAGACCTGACAGAATTCAGTCTGAGAGAAACTCAAGTCTGACGTCTCACCTCTGGTCATGACCCGAAGGACCAGATCCACGATACAAGAGACACAGATGAGTTTCCTCCAGGCGTCTCCCTGAAGGTTCGTTCACACCAAAGCGTCAGAGCCAGTTTCTCTTGTTTCTCCATGTGGACGTGTGACTGGAGCCTCCTGCGTTTTTGTGGCGCGTCTTCGGCATCAACGCGGCGCGAATCTGGCGTCGACGCGGCGAGTCTTGAGCGTTTTCACTTCGGCGCTCTAGACGAACGTCCAAGACGTCAGCGTCAAGAAGTTGAAAATGCTGAACTTTTCGCGTCAGATGCACCGCCTCAACCAATCAGGGACGAGTATCCAGAGACGCAGCGACGTTATTATCAGGAAGAAAGACCCCAGAACCACAAACATGAACGGAACATAAATATATACACCACAATCACCGAGACCATCACCAGGACTAAACCAGGACTAAACCAGGACTAAACCAGGACTAAACCAGGACTGATCCAGTGTCATTAGTGGAGTATAAATATAAACTGGCTCCAGTCGTCGAGTCGATTTCCTCCGCTGATGTTTTATGTCATAAAAACACTAAAGTCTCAGTCTGGTCTGACATTGTTTCGGGAAAAGACCAGGACCGGGCTCTTGTTTCCAGGGCAACGGACGCACGTCAAGTATTTTTCTCCCGTTGGTCCACGGCGTCAAAGACACGAGCGTCGGGGGCGTCTGAACTCAAATGCAACGGCTCCAAACAGAAGCGTCAAGGCGTTTTTTGACGCTTTGGTGTAAATGGCCCTTTAGAGACAGAGGTGGGAGCTCGGAGTAGAGCCGCTGCTCCTCCACGTGGAGAGGAGCGTCTGAGGGGAGGACGTCTGTTCTGACGTCTCCTGGACGTGTCCCTCAGGAGGTGTTCATGTCCCAGCAGGAGGAGGAGGAGACCCAGGACACACTGGAGGGACCATGTCTCTGGACTGGACTGGGAACACCTCAGGTCCCACTGGAGGAGCTGGAGGAAGTGTCTGGGGTGAAGGACCTGACTCACAGGGAGGGCATCTGACGCACGACGAATCCATCAGACTCTGTGAATAATTCATGTCCATTATAAAAGAGCAGCTCAGAGTCTGATACTGTTACAGAAACAAGAACTGAACCAGGACTGAACCAGGACTGAACCAGGACTAAACCAGGACTGAACCAGGACTGAACCAGGACTAAACCAGGACTGAACCAGGACTGAACCAGGACTAAACCAGGTCTAAACCTGGACTAAACCAGGTCTAAACCAGGTCTAAACCTGGACTAAACCAGGTCTAAACCAGGTCTGAACCAGGTCTGAACCAGGACTGAACCAGGACTGAACCAGGACTGAACCAGGACTGAACCAGGACTAAACCAGGTCTGAACCAGGTTTAAACCAGGTCTGAACCAGGACTAAACCTGGACTAAACCAGGACTGAACCAGGACTGAACCAGGACTGAACCAGGACTAGACCAGGACTGAACCAGGACTGAACCAGGACTGAACCAGGACTGAACCAGGTCTGAACCAGGACTAAACCAGGACTGAACCAGGACTGAACCAGGACTAAACCAGGTCTGAACCAGGTTTAAACCAGGTCTGAACCAGGACTAAACCAGGACTGAACCAGGACTAAACCAGGTCTGAACCAGGTTTAAACCAGGTCTGAACCAGGACTAAACCTGGACTAAACCAGGACTGAACCAGGACTGAACCAGGACTGAACCAGGACTAGACCAGGACTGAACCAGGACTGAACCAGGACTGAACCAGGACTGAACCAGGACTGAACCAGGACTAAACTAGGTCTGAACCAGGACTAAACCAGGTCTGAACCAGGTTTAAACCAGGACTAAACCAGAACTGAACCAGGACTGAACCAGGACTAAACCAGGACTGAACCAGGACTAAACCAGGTCTGAACCAGGACTAAACCAGGTCTAAACCAGGTTTAAACCAGGTCTGAACCAGGACTAAACCTGGACTAAACCAGGACTGAACCAGGACTGAACCAGGACTAGACCAGGACTGAACCAGGACTAAACCAGGACTGAACCAGGACTAAACCTGGACTAAACCAGGACTAAACCTGGACTAAACCAGGACTGGACCAGGACTGAACCAGGACTGGACCAGGACTGAACCAGGACTGGACCAGGACTGGACCAGGACTGGACCAGGACTGGACCAGGACTGAACCGGGACTGGACCAGGACTGGACCCGGTCTGTCTTGGGCTGGTCGGGTGTAAAAGTCCAGATTCCTCCCTGTGGTTCTTGGTTTGTTTGAGTTCAGATTTCAGTCTCCCTCAGGTTACATAATGGAGTTTAAATGAATAAAACAGATTAAGTCAGATGCCCCGCCCTGGTTCAGAGGGAGGATGTGAGATGTTTTTTTTTTGTTCTGAACAATTCGACTTTTTAAATGTTTATCACAAATTTAACCACAAGATTTAAAACGACAAAACTACATTAAGTTATAATTAAAGTCATTTATCAGTTCTGGTTCAGTCTTTTAATCCTGGTTTATTCTTAGTTCAGTCCTGGTTTTCGTCCTTGTTTAGTCCTGGTTTAGTCCTGGTTTAGACCTGGTTTAGTCCTGGTTTAGACCGAGTTTAGTTCTTTTTGTAAACTCTATTTTTTGTGAATTTGGAGTTGTAATTCCGCCTCGTATCCAGCAGGTGGCGGCAGTGCACTTTGTTTCTTTTGCTCCTGCGCTTGACACTTTTTCATTTTTGTTTTTATTTTCTCTTTCAGCAGTAAAACAATCATTTATTTATTTTTGTATGTATTTATTTATCATTATATATATATTTTAATCTATTTATGCATTTATGTATGTATTTTTAAAAAATTTACAATTAATTTTTATTTAATTTTTACAATTTTAAATTCTTTATACATCTGAGACTGTTATAAAAGGTTCGTGTCACACCTACACATAAAACTACACCTAAAACTACATCTAAAACTACACATAAAACTACACATAAAACTACACTTACTGCACTAAAAGTTTGGTTTGTGTGATTCTGGTTAAGATATTATCAGCCTCAAAACAGCAGAAAATTAAACCAATTGTTTGTGTTTTGTTTGTGTTGTTTTCTGTGTGACTGTTTACATTTGTGTGAGCTTATTTCTAAAATTATTATTATTTTTGTGTAAATTATATTTTGTTCATTTCTGTTCATCTGACGACAGCGACTTTAATGAAACTCCACAAAACTAGAAGAGAAACGACCTGAGACTGTGGAAAAGTCTGAGTTATTCTATAAAATATGAATCAACAGTGAGTTACGAGAGATCAGGTTCTCACTCTTTTTCACAGACAAAATTTCCAAACTTTTCCATGACTTTTTCATGAGCTAAAGTGAATTTTCCATGACTTTCCAGCACCTTCATGTGTAGAACTGATCATAGTTTTAGGCCTAAATCTGAAACATTAACTCTTTCCTCTCACCTTCTGGTTTGGGATTATAGTTTTTGAATATTTTAAATCCTGTCAGTGTTTTTATTGTCGTCTCTGTTAAACAAAAGACTCAGATGTTCACAAAGAATCAGAACAGAATCATGAAAACTGAACAAACACTAGAGACAAGGGAAACAGACACTAAAACTCCAGGACTTTTCCAGGATTTCCATGATCGTTGGAACCCTGAAAGACTGATACAGACTTTTCCACAGTCTCAGGTCGTTTCTCTTCTAGTTTTGTGGAGTTTTGTTAAAGTCGCTGTCGTCAGATGAACAGAAATGAACAAAATATAATTTATACAAAAATAATCATGAATATTTTTAGAAATAAACTCACACAAAATGAAAACAGATACACAAAACAACACAAACCAAACACAAACGATTGGTTTCATTTTCTGTCTGTTTTGGGGCTGAGGCACATTTTGAGCGACTGGACGACGTCATGGAAAATAAAACTGTTCAGATCTTAAGAAGCAGAATCACACAAAACAAACAAACAATTGACTCCATTTTGTGTCGCTTTATTTAATTTTAAAGTTTGTTGGAGCTGTTGACCCCAATTTGACCTTTTAAAAGAATCGTTAATATCTCCAAAACTAAAGCAGCACAAACCAAACTTTTGTTGATGAGGAAACTTCACAGAGTTTCTTTAAACTCACATTATTTTACACCGAGTGGAAGGGAAGTGAGACGAGGACTGAACCAGGACTAAACCGGTCGCTCCTGTCGTCTTCTCACCTTATTCTTCTCTTTTTAAACACATTTTCTCATGTTTCTCTGTTTGTCTTCAGGTTGTTCATTCTGGGCTCGTACGATCGTGAGACGTACGTTCACTGCACAGTGGAGCTGAGCGGGACGCAGTGGAAAGAGAAGACCAGATCCTCCATCAAACAGGTCAAAAAACACTAAATAAACAAAAACTGTCCAAAAACACTTTCTACAAACAAAAACTGACCTAAAAACACTTTCTACAAACAAAAACTGACCTAAAAACACTTTCTACAAACAAAAACTGTCCAAAAAACACTTTCTACAAACAAAAACTGTCCAAAAACACTTTAAATAAACATAAACTGTCCAAAAACACTTTCTACAAACAAAAACTGTCCAAAAACACTTTAAATAAACAAAAACTGTCCAAAAACACTTTCTGCAAACAAAAACTGTCCAAAAACACTTTAAATAAACATAAACTGTCCAAAAACACTTTCTGCAAACAAAAACTGTCCAAAAACACTTTCTGCAAACAAAAACTGTCCAAAAACACTTTAAATAAACAAAAACTGTCCAAAAACACTTTAAATAAACAAAAACTGTCCAAAAACACTTTCTCCAAACAAAAACTGACAAAAAAAACCACTTTCTATGAACAAAAACTGTCCAAAAACACTTTATACGAACAAAAACTGACCAAAAAAACCCTTTCTGCAAACAAAAACTGTCCAAAAACACTTTAAATAAACAAAAACTGTCCAAAAACACTTTAAATAAACAAAAACTGTCCAAAAACACTTTAAATAAACAAAAACTGTCCAAAAAAAACCCTTTCTGCAAACAAAAACTGTCCACTTTAATCTTGGTCTAGTCCTGGTCCTGGTCTTGGTCCTGGTCCTGGTCTAGTCCTGGTCCTGGTCCGGTCTCTGTGGGACCTTATCAAATCCTCGTTATCTAAATATCGTTTCACATTTGCGTGGGTTTGATGAGGCGCTTTGATCATATCTGGGGGGTTATTGGATTAGAGTCGATAATATTCCGTCGGATGTGATTATCGGTGACTCGCGGTGGCGCCGGCCGAATGCCACGCTCCTGTTTTTGTTTCTGACACGTGTCCGAGCCGCGCCGCTAACTCGATCGCGCGTCATTAGCCCGGCGCGCTCACTTATTGGCCCATCAATCGCGCTTCTGTGAGCCGTGACATTTGGCCCAAGCACTAATGCCCCCCAACGCCCCCCAGTGCCCCCCCCGACTCCCTGCAGCGCCCCCCGGCTACAGGCAACGTAATTACAGCGACGGGCGACGGTCGGGCCCGAGCTAACGAAGGCTAACACAGGCTAACACAGGCTAACGCGCGACGGCGGAAATGTCAAAATAAATTATGAACAAAACAGAAGCAACAATTATGACATTTACAAACCAAGACTAAACCAGGACTAAACCAGGACTAAACCAGGACTAAACCAGGACTGAACCAGGTCTAAAGAAGAACTAAAAAAGGACTAAACCTGTGTGTGTGTGTGTGTGTGTTTCTGTGTGTGTGTGTGTGTGTGTGTGTGTGTGTGTGTGTGTGTCTGTGTGTGTGTGTGTGTGTGTGTGTGTGTGTGTGTGTGTGTGTCTGTGTGTGTGTGTGTGTGTGTGTGTGTGTGTGTGTGTGTGTGTGTGTGTGTGTATGTGTGTGTGTGTGTGTGTCTGTGTGTGTGTGTGTGTGTGTGTGTGTATGTGTGTGTATGTGTGTGTGTGTGTGTGTGTCTGTGTGTGTGTGTGTGTGTGTGTGTGTGTGTGTGTGTGTGTGTGTGTGTCTGTGTGTGTGTGTGTGTGTGTGTGTGTGTGTGTGTGTGTGTGTGTGTGTGTGTGTGTGTGTGTGTGTGTGTGTGTGTGTGTGTGTGTGTGTGTCTGTGTGTGTGTGTGTCTGTGGTGTGTGTGTGTCTGTGTGTGTCTGTGTGTGTGTGTGTGTGTGTGTGTGTGTTCTGTGTCTGTGTCTGTGTGTGTGTGTATGTGTGTGTGTGTGTGTGTCTGTGTGTGTGTGTGTCTTGTGTGTGCTGTGTGTGTCTGTGTGTGTGTGTGTGTGTGTGTGTGATGTATGTGTGTGTGTGTGTGTGTGTGTGTGTGTGTGTGTGTGTGTGTGTCTGTGTGTCTGTGTGTGTGTGTGTCTGTGTGTGTGTGTGTGTGTGTGTGTGTGTGTGTTCTGTGTGTGTGTGTGTGTGTGTCTGTGTGTGTGTGTGTGTGTGTATATGTGTGTATGTGTGTGTGTGTGTGTGTGTGTGTGTGTCTGTGTGTGTGTCTGTGTGTGTGTGATCTGTGTGTGTGTGTGTCTGTGTGTGTGTGTGTCTGTGTGTGTGTGTGTGTGTGTCTGTGTGTGTGTGTGTGTGTGTGTGTGTCTGTGTGTGTGTGTGTGTGTCTGTGTGTGTGTGTGTGTCTGTGTGTGTGTGTGTGTGTCTGTGTGTGTGTGTGTGTGTGTGTGTGTGTGTGTGTGTGTGTGTATATGTGTGTATGTGTGTGTGTGTATGTGTCTGTGTGTGCGTGTGTGTGTGTTCTGTAAATAAACTCTCTGTGAGTTGTTTGATGTTGAGTCACACAGAAAGAATAAATTACATTATTTACAATTTATTTATTATCCGAGTCTGAACAATGTTTTATTTTGAAAAATCACCAAATTATCTCCATCACATCCACCTGTGTCTCACTCTTGTCTCACTCTTGTTTGTGTCACTTTTGTTTGTGTCACTTTAGTTTGTCTCACTTTTGTTGGTGTCCTTTTTTGTCACTTTTTGTTTTGTGTCACTTTTGTTTGTGTCACTTTAGTTTGTCTCACTTTTGTTTGGTCACTTTTGTTTGTGTCACTTTAGTTTGTTCTCACTTTGTTTGTTCACTTTTTGTTTGTGTCACTTTTGTTTGTGTCACTTTTGTTTGTGTCACTTTTGTTTGTGTCACTTTTGTTTGTGTCACTTTTGTTTGTGTCACTTTAGTTTGTCTCACTTTTGTTTGTGTCACTTTTGTTTGTGTCACTTTAGTTTGTCTCACTTTTGTTGGTGTCACTTTTGTTTGTGTCACTTTTGTTTGTGTCACTTTGTTTGTGTCACTTTTGTTTGTGTCACTTTTGTTTGTGTCACTTTTGTTTGTGTCACTTTTGTTTGTGTCACTCTTGTCTCGATCAGTGAGACATTTACTCTCATATTAACCCCACGAGCAGCAGAATGAGGAAACAACAAACGTCTTTGGAAACATTTATTATTATTTTTATAAAACACCACAGTTTTTGTGTCGTCGTCTCATTTTATTTTGTCGTTTTTCTCCTCCGCACCTAAAGTCCTGAAAAATACTGTCTGACTTTAAACCCGTGTGTGTGTGGCCCGCTGATCCTGAGAGACCTGAGAGACCTGAGAGACCTGAGGGACCTGAGGGACCTGAGGGACCTGAGAGACCTGAGGGACCTGAGAGACCTGAGAGACCTGAGGACCTGAGTGGTGTTTGGATGGTGGTTCATGTCCTGGTTCTGTCCTGCAGGGGGCAGTGTGGGTCTGTGCTCGTCTCCCACAGCAGCAGGTGTTTCCTTTGTGCTCAGTGTTTGTGGAAAAAACAAAAGAGACAAAAAGACCTGGTTTAGTCCTGGTTTAGACCTGGTTTAAACCTGGTTTAGACCTGGTTTAGATCTGTTACTCCTGGGCTTGTCTTGGTTCAGATCTTATCAGACCAGGACCATTTATTAGGACAATTAATGGTCTAAACCAGGACTAAAGCAGGACTGAACCAGGTCTAAACCAGGTCTAAACCAGGTCTAAACCAGGACTAAACCAGGACTAAACCAGGTCTAAACCAGGTCTAAACCAGGTCTAAACCAGGTCTAAACCAGGACTAAACCAGGACTAAACCAGGACTAAACCAGGACTAAACCAGGTCACAGGGTCAAACCGCAGTGAAATAAAATGTTTGAAAACTCGTTCAGGTTTAGAATCATGTGAAATTTATAAAAGCATCTTCAGACTTTTCACCTGCGACAGAGTCGCGTCCGGGTTCTCCTCGGAGTCACGTCCGGGTTCTCCTCGGAGATGTGTCCGGGTTCTCCTCGGACACGTCCGGGTTCTCCTCGGAGTCACGTCCGGGTTCTCCTCGGAGACGTGGGTTCTCTCGTCCGGGTTCTCCTCGGAGTCACGTCCGGGTTCTCCTCGGAGATGTGTCGGAGTCTCCTCGGACACGTCCGGGTTCTCCTCGGACACGTCCGGGTTCTCCTCGGAGTCACACGTCCGGGTTCTCCTCGGAGTCACGTCCGGGTTCTCCTCGGACACGTCCGGGTTCTCCTCGGAGTCACGTCCGGGTTCTCCTCGGAGTCACGTCCGGGTTCTCCTCGGAGTCACGTCCGGGTTCTCCTCGGAGTCACGTCCGGGTTCTCCTCGGAGTCACGTCCGGGTTCTCCTCGGACACGTCCGGGTTCTCCTCGGAGTCACGTCCGGGTTCTCCTCGGAGTCACTCCTCGTCCGGGTCCGGGTTCTCCTCGGAGTCACGTCCGGGTTCTCCTCGGAGTCACGTCCGGGTTCTCCTCGGACACGTCCGGGTTCTCCTCGGAGTCACGTCCGGGGTCTCCTCAGACACGTCCGGGGTCTCCTCGGACACGTCCGGGTTCTCCTCCTCGGACACGTCCGGGTTCTCCTCGGAGACACGTCCGGGTTCTCCTCGGAGACGCGTCCGGGTTCTCCTCGGACACGTCCGGGTTCTCCTCGGAGTCACGTCCGGTTTCTCCTCGGAGTGCGTCCGGGTTCTCCTCGGACACGTCCGGGGTTCTCCTCGGACGTCGTCCGGGTTCTCCCCTCGGAGACGCGTCCGGGTTCTCCTCGGACACGTCCGGGTTCTCCTCGGAGACGCGTCCGGGTTCTCCTCGGAGACGCGTCCGGGTTCTCCTCGGAGTCGCGTCCGGGTTCTCCTCGGAGACGCGTCCGGGTTCTCCTCGGAGTCGCGTCCGGGTTCTCCTCGGAGACGCGTCCGGGTTCTCCTCGGACACGTCCGGGTTCTCCTCAGAGTCACATTCTGCTTTTGTCTCAGTCTCAGTTTATGTTCAGGCCTCAGGTGAAGATCAGAACCTTCAGACCTCGTGATCCAACAACCCAAACCAGAGTCATGTGACGCTCACTCTGTGTTCTGATTGGACGATCGTCCTGAACCAAAACACCAAAATATAAATCTAT